GAAGCAGGAAGCCTGCTAAACAGCCAGTAGGGCCCTAGATAATCGAAATGCCAAAGGAGCACTCAAAGACGAAAGGTCATTGCGGAGAAACTAAATTGATTCTTTGCTTCAGTCTTTACAGCTGAGGATGTTAGGGAGATTCCCAAACCTGGGCCATTCTTTTTAGGTAATAAATCTGAGAAATTGTCCCAGACTGAGGTGTCATTAGAGGAGACTTTGGAACAAACTGATAAACTTAACAGTAACAAGTCACTGGGACCAGATGGTATTCACCCAAGTGTTCTGAAAGAACTCAGATGTGTAATTACAGAACTATTAACTATGGTTTGTAATCTAGCCTTTAAATAAGCTTCTGTACCTAATGACTGGAAGATAGCTGATGTGACACCAATATTTAAAAAGGGCTCAATAGATGATCCTGGCAATTATAGACCAGTAAGTCTAACATCAATACTGGGCAAATTAGTTAAAACTATACTAAAGAATAAAATTGTCAGACACATAGATGAACATAATTTGTTGGGGAAAAGGCAACATGGTTTCTGTCAAGGGAAATCATGCCTTACTAATCTACCAGAGTTCTTTCAGGGGATCAACAGACATGTGGACGAGGGGGATCCAGTGCATAGAGTGTACTTAGATTTCCAGAAAGCCATTGACAAGATCCCTCACCAAAGGCTCTTAAGTAAAGTAAGTTGTCATGGAATAAAAGGGGAGGTCCTTTCATGGATTGACAACTGGTTAAAAGACAGGAAACAAAGGTTAGGAATAAATGGTAAGTTTTCAGAGTGGAGCGATGTAACTAGTGGGGTCCCCCCAAGGGTCTGTACTGGGACCAATCCCATTCAACAGTTTTAAATGATGTGGAGAAAGGGGTAAACAGTGAGGTGGCAACATTTGCAGATGATACTAAACTACTCAATATACTTAAAACCAAAGCAGATCTTGAAGAGCTTTGGAAAGATCTCACAAAACTAAATGATCGGGTAACAAAATGGAAAATGAAATTTAATGTTGATAAATGTAAAGTAATGCACATTGGAAAAAATAATCCCATCTATACATACAATATGATGGGGACTAATTTAACTAAAACTACTCAAGAAAGAGATCTTGGAGTCATTGTGGATAGTTCTCTGAAAACATCCACTCAGTGTGCAGCGGCTGTCAAAAAAACCAAACAGAATGTTAGGAATCATTAAAAAAGGGATAGCAAACAAGATAGAGAACATCTTATTGCCTCTATATAAAACCATGGTGCAGCCAAATCTTGAATACTGCATACAGATGTGATCGCCTCATCTCAAAAAAGATATATTGGCATTGGAAAAGATTCAGAAAAGGGCACCAAAATTATTAGGGGTTTGGAACGGGTCACATATAAAAAGAGATTAAAAAAACTGGGACTTTTCAGCTTGGAAAAGAGGAGACTAAAGGGGGATATGATAGAGGTCTATAAAATCATGACTGGTGTGGAAAAAGTGAATAAGAAAAAGTTATTTACTTGTTCCCATAACATAAGAACTAGGGTTACCAAAGGAAATTAATAGGTAGCTGGTTTAAAACAAAAGGAAGTTTTTCTTCACACAGCACAGTCAGACTGTGGGACTTCTGGGCAGAGGAGGTTGTGAAGACCAGGACTTTAACAGGATTCAAGAAAGAGCTAGATAAATTCATGGAGGCTAGGTCCATCAATGGCTATTAGCCACGATGGGTAGGAATGGTGTCCCTAGCCTCTATCAGTAGCAGAGAATGAGTGATGGGAGAGGGATTGCTTCAAGAATCCCTGTTCTGTTCACTCCCTCTGGGGCATCTGGATACTGAGCTAGATGTAACTTTAGTCGACCCAGTATGGCTGTTCTTATGCTTATGTTCTTATGATGTATGCTTTCTCATCAGTTCCACTCATTGACAGAGCCTTTCAAAAATCAAGAGGGACAAGGCCCAAATCGTCGTGATGGCCCCGGCGTGATTGTGTCAGCATTGGCTTGGCATTCTGATGAGCTTAGCATTGCCTTCCCCTCCCCTGAGTCCTTCTTGACTGGCTAGACCTGGTCTCACAGGATCCACAGACATCTCCTACACTCCTGCTTTGCCTCCCTCCCCCTTGTGCCATGGATGCTGTGTGGTTGAACCTGAAGGAGTAGGCCTGCTCCAGCAAGATTCCACAAATCCTCCTAAGAAGCAGAAAGCGCCCCACTTTCATCTCTACCAGGCAAAGTGGATGAGATTCTCCCACTGAGCATCTTAGCATAGCATCTCTCCAATCTGCTCCACTTTACAGTCTATCTTGGACTACCTGCTCATCTCAAAAACCAAGGGCGTGGCCTTCTCTTCCATCAGAGTGCCCCTTGCTGCCAACTCTGCCTTCCATCTGACGATCCAACGTCAATTTCTCACACCATATGTCGGTCTAATTCCTGGGAAGCCTTGAGAGACTCTTCCTGCTGGCTCAAGCTCCTGTTGCACAGTGGGACCTTAACTTGGTTCTTAGCTGGTTTACAAACCTACCCTTTGATGCCATAAGCTCCTGCTCTTTTTCTCACTTGTCATGGAAAGTCATGTTCTTTGTGGTGATAATATTGATGAGCCAAATGTTGGGGTTTAAAGCCCTGACATAGGACCCACCATTTACAGTCTTCTAGAGGAATAAAATCAAACTGAAACCTCATACAGTCTTTCTGCTGAAAGTGGTGTCACTCTTCCACATCTTCCTCCTGATGTTTTATCTCAAGCTTCCCACCATTAGTTAAGTAAGGAGGCTGCATGCTTATGATGTCAAATGTGCCCTGGAGTTTACCTGGATCATACCAAGGCCTTCTGTAGGTTGACCCACATCTTCCTTGCAACAACAGACAGGATGAAGGGTCTTCTGGTCTCCTCAAAGTGGATTTCCTACCGGATCATCCCCTGCCTCAGGACCTGCGATGAGCTGATAGAAGTCCCACCACCACCGAATGTGAGGGCTCATTTGATCAGAGCTCAGGTGTCCTCAGTGGCCTTCCTATTGCATATTACCATTCAGGACATTTGCAGAGCCAGTACACCATCACTAAATAGGCCAGAGATGATGCTATGTTCAGCAGAGCTGTGTTGCATTCTTCACATGTGTGAACTCCTACCTGCCTCCATTGGTACTGCTTGTGAGTCACCTGATATGAAATGGACAAGAGCAAGCACTAAAAGAAGAAAAGATAGCTACCTTTTTCCATAGTTTGTGTTCTTTGAGATGTGTTGCTCATGTCCATTCTCTGACCCACTCTCTTTCCCCAACTCTAAACTGTTAGGCTACATCTCAACTACACCCCTCTGTCACCAGAGGGATGTAAATTAGATGTATCGAAAGTGCAAATGAAGCTGGGATTTAAATATCCCATGCTTCATTTGAATAATGGCGGTTGCTGTTTTTTTTCCGAAATGGGGCTTTTTGAAAAAAAAATGGTAGCTTAGACGGGGCATTTTTGACAGAAATGCCCCATTTCGAAAGTTCCTGTACTTCTATTGCAATACTCCTATTGCATATTACCATCCAGGACATTTGCAGAGCCAGTACACCATCACTAAATAGGCCAGAGATGATGCTATGTTCAGCAGAGCTGTGTTGCATTCTTCACATGTGTGAACTCCTACCTGCCTCCATTGGTACTGCTTGTGAGTCACCTGATATGAAATGGACAAGAGCAAGCACTAAAAGAAGAAAAGATAGCTACCTTTTTCCATAGTTTGTGTTCTTTGAGATGTGTTGCTCATGTCCATTCTCTGACCCACTCTCTTTCCCCAACTCTAAACTGTAAGGAGTGTAGTTTAGGCGTAGCCTAGAGTTTCTGGTAAGAAGGAACTGAAGGGGTGGGAATGGGGGAGAGCTGGCGGCACCCCTTACACTGCAGCATGTGCATGCCTCTCCAGAGGGCACCAGAGCCAATCCTGTGAAGATACCACTGAGGGAAATAGATTAGGCATCAGTGCATGTGGTGAGCATACACACCTAATATGGAATTGACATGAGCAACACATCTCAAAGAACACCACTTATGGAAAAAGGTAACTGTCTTCTCCATGTCACGGACCATGTAGTACTAAATCATCCCATGGATCTGCTTGCTTGTTTGTTAAGGCTAGGGAATGCAGCTGGTATGCTCAGCAATATTTTCTCTTTTGATAAAACAGTCTGTAATGTCCAAGGCCCCTTATGCATGTGCAGGTTGAATAGTTACATTGAAGTCAAGGGGAACGGTTTAGTTAATGGTAAACATAAGCATTTCAGGATCATGGCCAAAGACCAGTGCCCTGGTGGTCGAATGCATAGTTGCTGCTGCTACATTTACTTACACAGTCAAATTCACCATTTAAGAAAGTGATTTGAGATAACTTGAGTTGTGTTGTTTAGCAAAAAGGTGAATTCTGTTCTAGGGCTGGTTACTTTCCATATGGAAAGGCTTGAAATGTAATTGGGTTTTAAATGAAAGCTCTGGTTCTGTTGAAACCAGTAAAAATACTGGGAATACCTTAAAGTTACAGGAACCGTAAATTTTCAATGGCACTTCTGATAGAAGTTGTTATATTTCTGCCTTTGAGAGTTGTTTCTTTTCTCCCTCAATTACGAAGAGTAGTAAAACTTGATTTTTCAGAATGGAATAATTTTGATCTATTTTTTAAATTTTTTTTTTAAATAAAAACAAGGAATCGGGTGGCACTTTAAAGACTAACACATTTATTAGGGCACAAGTTTTCATGAACTACAACTCATTTCCTCAGATGGTGAAGAGAAAAACAATAGGAGGGGATTGCTTAGCCTTAAGACAACTAGTTTGTATGAGTTTGACTACACTCCTAGACTTTTTCAGGCCTCAAGAGTTTACATTCCTCCTTTAGTTTATCATTTACAGGATGGATGAGCGCATACCCTTGTGAAAATACCTGAGAAAACTCTCTTGGCTACCATAGGCACTGTGTGGATTATTTTCAGGCTAACATTCCACCTCCCCCCCCCCCCCAAGCACTTTGCTTCTTCTCTTCAGATTTTGAACTTTTTGTCTTGAACCAAAGTAGAGAAGGATAAAATACAAATATGAAGCCCTTTGAAGTGAAGACAAAGACACCTGTTCTTCTTTCTCAAACAAACCAGACCAGTCACCCTGCCACAAAAGGTTTAAATGACTTCCTATGCAACAAAAGGCAAGGGACACTCTATTTTCATGGGAGCAGGAAACACTTTAAATTGACCAGTTGTCCATCAGGGCAGTCCTGCCTATCTCCCCAGGAAAGTGTTTTCAAGAAATGTATGTTAAAGAACTCTGCTTTGTGCAAGGTGAGTGTTAAGGTCCAATATTTCATTAACTTACTGTTTCATAAGGTTTCTAATGAATTCAAGACAAAGGCAAAACCTTTGTAAGGTTCTTAAAAATCAAATGATAACTATAAACAAACATGGAAGCTGCCTTTGATCACCTCTATCTTGAATTTTAGTGACATGTAAAGCACTGACTGGACTTTTACAATATTTTTTTGGCTTAAATTGAACTGTGGTTGTTCTTAGGCTTAACTTTTTAAAGCTGTAATATTTGTAAAAACAAAACCACAAAATATACATATGGGAGGTATGTTTTTGTATTTTTGCTATTAATTTAGTTATGCTATTATGAAGGTGATTTTGGTTTGCTTTTTCTAATCAGGGTTCCGAGTTTGCCCTAATGTACAGTATTGCTGCATTGTGGAGACACCACTGCTCAACTCAATATTAAAACTCAAAAAAGGAAATAAGAACCTAGAAATGTACGGTAACCTCCCTAAAGTAATCTAATTTTAATTGAGACAAAGTTGGAAACATGGAATTTGTTTTTATTCATGCAAAGTTTAATAAACGAGTAGCCCTCCACACCGGTTAAAATGTAAAACTTGTATGTTTTGCTGTGAGGTTTTAGACTAAGTTTATTGGCTGCCTAGGTAACAAATCCAGATGTGGCACTTGTCTGTGTATTTTACTGAATTATGTGGAACAAGAGGAGGACAAATACAGCAGACTGTAGTTAGCTAAAGTGTACACTCTGGTATCCCAGTGCGTTACTAGGGAAAATAAATATTGTGCTCCTTCATGTCACTTGAATTTGGCTAGAAGTGAAACCAGAAGCTTGGCATTTAGATATTACCAAGACACTGTAGGATTGCCTTTATCTTTAGTTGACCTAAGGTTGTTTTACTTTAGAAAATAATTGCTTTGTGTATTGATTAAAGCATCACGGCTGCAAGTAGTTTCAGCAAAGAGAAAATGTAAAGCACAGGGAAGAATAGGGTTGTTTTAGGTTTGAGGAAAATCAACAGTAGCTTTCTCTCCCCTTGTTATCCTTTGATACCTTTCGTCTCAAGAGTTGTTTTCTAATTTATTTTCAGTCACATTCAAGTTTATGCTGTGGTGTTGTATAGCTGTAGTTACTAGAAGTGATGCAGTTGCTGAGAATGGCATTTTCAATGGCTCTGTGGCAACTATGGTAGTGCCATTGTATTTTGGAGGAGCAGCTACATGTTCGGATGGATAAAGCTAGCACTGCAGGCAAAAGGGTCCACACTGTTTTGCTAAGTGGATGATTTGGAAAAGATGCGTGCCCTGCTGTAAATAAAATAATCTAACAATTACTGGTTTCCTCTCTGTGTTAAGACTGTGCTATTCATAGGCTGCCCTAATCCCTGTCCCATCTCACCTCCATGATGGAAATGCAGTAGTTCCATTAGAATTAGGCTCCCTCCCCCACTTATGAAGGTAGACAAGCAGGATTTGGCCCTCCATGCGGTATGAGTTTGAGCTTGAAAGCGTTAATATATGTTATCCTCCCCTGCGCATCAATGGCACTAGGATTTCATTCAATTATTAACTACTTTGATGGGGAAGAGTGCTGTCCTATACTGGAGGAACTCTGCGCTTCCAAAATTGGAAGGTTTTTGATGCTGGTGAGTTTTTCAAGACTGAGTAGTCCAGTGCAAGGCATGTCACACTGAGAGGATATAACAGGGAAACAATCAAGAGGATGAAGCATGATAGCTGACAAACAAAGTAGGGAGAATCATTTTAAAAACTCAACGTAGCTATTGTACAATAGCTTAATTAAGGCTAGAAAGAGTTGTCTCCTCATGAAGATAATGTACATGCCTGAAGTTGTCTTAATAAAGCTCTTAAAGGAAGCTTAGAAGATAACCTGATCAGGTTTAGCTTCAGGTTACTAAAAAAGATACCACATTTTTGATGCAATATTAATGTAGATAGTGAATGTTGTTTTTATTCGTTATTAAGACATCAGTGCAATAATAGCTGCTCGGTCATCATGAAGTTTTATTAATCTGTGCAATTATACAGCCTTTTCATTAGATACTTTGGGCTAAATCCTGCTCCCCTTACTCATCTGTAGATAGGGTGACCAGATGTCCTGATATTACAGGGTTTGTTTTATGTAGGCTACTATCTCCCTCTCACAACCGTGAAAAAAATCATTCGGATTTTTCACACTTGCTGTCTAATCACCCTGTTTGTAGCTCCCCACTGCCTACAATGGGAGTTTTCAGTGAGTAAGGGGATACAGAGAATGCTATTGCCAGGGTTCTTTTAAAATACCTAACCATTGTATTTACAGTGCTGACTGGTTTTATATTTTTTTATATACCCATGCAAAATACTGCCAGGATGGCTCCACGATACATGATCAAAGAAATACCAATAAGACTGTCTTTGCACAGCCCAAATTTATAAATCTGTGATTTGATCTAACACAAGTTGTAAATGTGAGAAGTTGCAAAAACTAATACTACATTTAAGAAGTGCACATCTGTCTAGTTTTGACAACAATGTATCTTGAGTAGATTTGCATGTTATTTATGTGTATCAAAGTGGTGCTCCTATTGTAGATCAAGAGTCATAGTGAGCAGCACTTATTTCCTATCTTACCCCTTGTGGCGTTGTAAATCTTACTTCTGCCCATCCTGTTGTTAAAGAAAAGCAGCCCATATTGTGCTGATTGCTATTAAATTAAAGCAAAAAGGGAGAGAAACAAACGTGGGAGCCCATCTTACCAGCAGGGATTCCACTACCTTTTATTTTGTCTTTTGGAGGTCACAAAGTCAGTGCAGGCATCCGACCTCTGATAACCTCTTCAGTGACACAGCCTGCAGTTTCTTTCGGAAGAACTTAATTAAATACAACTGAATTTCCCTGCTAATGTTTGTGGCTGAAAAGATTCTTCTTTGATTGCTTGGCGTTTGCTGGTGAGGCGGGAAAGACAAAGATGCTCCTTTTGTTCCCAGGAGATAAATTAGCATATGTTAGTAGAGTATTTGTCATTTCCTTTCCTCCCTAAAATTCCACAGCGTTCTCTCATAATGTAGAAATATCAAAACTATGGAGTAGAAGTACACTCGGACAATTTAAGGTAGTTTTCAAATGCAGCTAATCCTACTATTTTGGAGGTAATTTGATATTGTCTAAATTAAACTGCATTCAATGCATAACCAGGATCGTGTATTGCTGACAGGTGGTAACTTTGATGTTAACTACCCAATACAAAACTGCATTATTTGTTGAACAAGAGTAATTGAAAATAGACATACTTTTTGTAGTTTGCCTATGTCATGCCCATTTATTCTGTACACAGTCCAGAATATTACATGTCTAGTTGTGGTACACTATATTTATTTGGATTGCTGATTAATTTTAAATACCTGGATATAGATTAGCTCTTTCAGGCCTTCTTGTTTGACTTTTTCTAAATCAAAAATATTTTGAAATGGAATCACAGACACAACATTTGATTATAGACAAAGGCTGTTACTGAATCTCAGAAACTAAACATTTGATCCAGACTATGGAATGAGATTAGTTTAGGGTCGCCCACTTTCTAATTGCACAAAACTGAAGAGCCTTACACTGGCCCTTTCCTGAGGCACTTTTGCCATTCACTGCCCCCCTCGTTTGCTCTCCACCACCCACATGCATTCACTCATTGGGCTGGGGCAGGGTGTTGTGGTGCAGGTTCTGGGGTGATGTTGGGGAGCAGGGCCTTGGAGGAGGAGGCTCCAGCCTGGGGAGTTAAGCTGAGGGTTTCAGCATGTGGGAGGGGGCTCCAGGCAGGGGATTGTGGTGTGGGAGGGAGCCAAGGGGTTGAAGAGTGGGAGGTGTTCTGAACTGAGAGAGGGGAGGTGGTGTTGAGTTCAGGTTCTGGCAGGGAGTTTGGTTGCAGAAAGAGCTTTAGGGCTGTGGCAGTGGATTGGGGTGCAGGAGTGGGTAAGAGGTGCAGTCTCTGGATGTCGCTCACCTCAGGCACCTCCCCGCAAGTGGTGACATGTCTCTTGGTTCCTAGGCAGAGGCATGGCCAGACAGCTCTGCAGACGCCAGCCCCATACTTCTGACTGGCAGTGGTTTCTGGCCAATAGGAGCTACAGAGCTGGCACTCAGGGCAGAGGCAGCACACGGAGCCCCCATGGCTATCCTAGGAGCCAAGATGCATGTTGCCATTTCTGAGAGCTGTGTGGAGTCAGGTGGGGAACCTGCCAGCCCCGCATCAACCAGACTTTTAAGGGCACGGTCAGCAGAGCTGACTGGAGCCATGAGAATCCCTTCTCAACCGGACATTCTGGGAGAAGAACAAAAACTTGGCAACCCGACATTAGTTTTGAAGAAACTAAATTCTGCCCATTTTGTTTGTGTATTTTGAAATAGAAAGCCTTATTGGAAGCTCTCATCATTTGGAGTGTGTTTGTGTTTAAGGGGGAGAAAATTTAAGGCATATATATAAACTGCATTAAGCTGTATCCCTGTGTCCGAGGTACTGTGGGTAGGGTTCTTTCCTACTACTGAAATTGTAGAATCATAGAACTGGAAGTGTCCTGAAGTGGTCATCAAGTCCTGTCTCTTGCACTCATGGCAGGACCAAGCACCATCTAGACCAGGGCTACGCAACACATGGCCCGCAGGCCGCATGTGGCCTACGGCTTGTTTGTTTGTGCCCCGCAGCGTGGTTTGGGTTTACACGGAGCTCAACATGCGGCCCACAGGTGGGACCTTTTGCACATGGCCTCTACTGGGAACACGCTCCAAAATGGTGAGGCGTCTCCCAGGCAGGGTGAGCCTTGAAAGTTGCAAGTGGACAGGCTGGCTGGAACAGATGGGTACATGGTGTCAGCATTTCTAGCCCCGACACAGAAGTGCCGGGAGTGCCAGGGCATTGTGGGAAGTGCTGGCTGCTTAGCCTTGTGGGCAGAACTTGAGAGGTTCTGACTGGCGCATACTGGCCATACTTGGGTCCGGCACTGCAGCCAGGCAGCCACTTCAGCCCTGCTGGGAATCCAGGATGGGGCTCCCAAGCACCTGTCCTTTTTTGCCTCTTGTGTCTGGCCTGACTCGCCCAATTCCCTGCCCACAGCAGGTAGGAGCACTCCAGCTTGGAAACTTTTCTTTTTATAGTAAAATCACTCCATGAAATGCGCAACCTGAAGCTAAACACCCAAAACACTAGCATACAATTTTCTTTTTAATAAGAAGCATTAAAAATGACAACATGGTTAAAATTGTGACGCCAGAGCAAAAAAGTAGTCAAAATAATGGTCTTCTGTTGATATGCCTTTTAGTAGATAAATTCCTGGACTGTCATTGCTCATTACAAGGGCTGTCATGTGGGTGGAAATCGGGTAACTATTGCATTTTATTAGTATCAGCAGAACTGACTTAAATTGGGCCTGCGTGTTGTGTAGTCTTGCCTTAATCTTTGTATTCATGCCTGACATGTGAAAGAAGCTATTTGCATATATGTATTTGCATGTATATGCAACCACACTTTAGTTGCGGCCCTTGGCATGTGCTGTGAGTATCCTTGTGGCCCCCGGGGCTTCCAAAGTTGAATAGTCCTGATCTAGACTATCCCTGACAGATATTTGTCTAACATGCTCTTAACAGTTTAATCTTTGCTATTAATGATTCACTCATCTCTGATCAGTAATATATATTTATAGATCCTGATCCTGAAATAAATGTGGGGCAGATCCCTGAGCCTGTGCAGAGTTCCACTGAAATTAATAGCTCAGTCCCGTTGTGAGATTTCATATTCCTGCATCTGGTTGCAGGATTAGGACCACAGTGAGTAGAAATAAAGTGGTCAAGCACCGATTGGAAAGATTATGTTTCCAGCTCATTAGAGGGAATGCACCCTGATAACAGTAAAATAAGCTTCAACATTCACTCATCTCTTGCATCCAATTTGCTGGGTGGTTTCATTTATTAGTGTACATTCAAATACGTGAGCACTTGGTCTTTCTTAAAGAAACAAAATCATTGACCCTCTAGTACACCACCTGTTTGCACTTTATTGTTAACTGTGAGGGGGTTTTTATTAGCAAAGTTGTTTTGCTTTTTGTTAACTTTGGTCTTTATTAACACGCAGGCTGCAGTCCTATTTCTTTTTCGAAATGGACTTTGTTTGCCATTAATATCATACTTAGACTGTCTCTCTCTTGTGAGGTATTTTAAAGGAAATAAAGCTTTTCTGTTCCTTTATATCTATGTACATTTAGTTTGTGGGCTCTATTTTTGTGGCTTTCCAAATGTACTTGATATATAGTTTTCAATATGTAATTACTGCCAAAGAAGTTAATTGTTTTATAAGTGTCCCAAATTCCCTTGTTTCATTTGCATTCATTTATCAGCCTTCTTTATGCAGCTTATCCACATAAACACAAATGATTGTTAACGAATGCCTAATGTCATATTCATTAGAAAATCAGGTTAATGGCTAGCAATGAATATACTTGGTAGTTTCAAGTGTGTTTTTTTCTTGTTAATTACAATGCCTTGTTATTTATAAAGAAATCCTACCTGTCTTTTAGTCTGACTAGAACATTTTGAGATCAAACCTTTGTGAAAACCCTATAACTGCCTTTCTGTTGCAGGGCAGGTGCTTTTGCTTAAAAAAGACCATTGGATACATAGAAACAAACAAATCTAAATTTGTGGCAACCCATTTGTTATTAGTCTGTGTTTACCATACTAAAGGGGCTACTCATACTTTGGTTTCATACATTTTAAAGCTATTTTATTTAAATAAGAACAGAAAGCACTACATGTTGCTTGTGAACAATCCTTAGAAACTTGGAAAAGAGGAGATCATTGTCTTTGATAGGCTTCTGCCAATCCTGTTGGTACATGTTGGAGTTTCAGATATGTAATAGAACAGTTTCCCTTTGTGGAAAGCCCCTTTGTAAAAGGGGCTGACTAAGAGTGTGCCTCCACCATCGATGACTGCCCTAGCCCCGAGCCTCCCACCCCCCAGGTGCCTTTTAAGGAGAGTGCAGGGGCTGAAGCTCCCCTTCTCTCGGATTCATATGGAAACATTGCTGGCTGTTCCTCTTCATCAAGGAGTGAGGGGAAAGTGCACAGTTTGCTGCATTCCTCCCTCTGGCTAGGAAGTGCAGGGAGCAGACTAGGGTTGTGAAAGGTTAACCGGCTAGGTGATGCTTACAGGTTCTGGTTAACCAGCAGGCATCACGTTTAACCAGTTAACCAATTACACAGGATTTTACGTCCCTGGAGCAGGCAAATCTGGACCTGTCTCAGCCGGGAGACATGTGCCCCTCCTCTGGCTGTGACCACTGGAGCTACAGTGGCTATGGAGAGATGCTTCTCATCTGGCCCCAAGCTGTTGTGGTGAGAGAGGGCTGGGGTTGGTCTCTCTCCCTGGGGGTCCCCTTATCCTCAGTCCCGCCCCAGAGCAATGATTTAAATGAAACAAGTGCACTTTCATTTTCTTAAAAAAAAAAAAAATATGTCCGTTAAGGAGCCAAGCAATGCTGGGTAAATCTTTTCGTTTATAAATAAATGAATGTTGGTGTGCGTATATACCAGGGATGGGCACAACATGGGCCATGGGCCAGATCCAAACACTGGGCTCTGAACTGGCATTGCTCTGAACTGGGCTCTGAACTGGCATATCTATCTGTCGAGTTTTGACATTTGTTTAAGATCTTACATTGATCAGTAAAAGATATCTGGCACTTTCTTCAGATATAAGTCATATTTTAGGCCAAATGTTCAAGTGGCCTTCTTCATTGATATTCATAAAATCAAGACTTGGGTAACTTTTTTAAAAGCACATAAGTAATTTGGGAACCTAAAGGTATGAACGTCAATAGGACTTGGGTTTCTAGGTGTCTAAGGCCACCTCTGCACATACAAGCTTACAGTGTCACAGCTGTACATGAGTGTTCATGTAACCATTGGGGCAGTGCCACCCAGGGCTAGCAGCACCGGCTGCCAGGGATGGCTGCTCCAGGGCTGCTGTTGGCAGCTGCCAGAACAGAAGCTGGAGTGGATGTCCCCGGGGCAGCGACAACAGTGGCTGGTGTGGCTAACCTAGGGGACACCTGAGCATCTGGTCCTGGAGGCAGCTGCTTGGGTGGTCCCTGCAAAAGTCACAGAGGTTGCGGAAAGTCACGGAATCTGTGACCTCTGTGACAGACACAGAGCCCTAGTTATTGGTGTGGTGCCACAGCATCAGGAGTTGCTGGGAAACCCAATTCTCAAGCAGTAGTCATGACCACAGATAATGCCCACAAAAAAACCTAGAGCCAGAAGGTGAAGCTGGTGCACTCCTAGGCTTGAGGCCTGCTGTTCTTTCCTCATCATTCTCCTTGCTTTCCTGTCTCACAACCACCTCTCTTACCTCTTTTATTCCCTGGTGCAGCATTGCCTTTCAGCACAGCGTGTTGTTAGCTGCATCTTCCTAGTTTGCAATGTTGACATTAAAAGTTTTCTAGTCCTGGAATCTAAGGTTCAGTTGGCCTCATGGTTGTGGAGCATCCACAAATTCTCCACGCAGGAGATTATTTGAATAACAAAAGTGGCAAACATGGCCCCTGTGGGAATACATACCAAATGGTCCTGGAGTCTACTCAGTAATTATTCCAACATTGCTCATTAAAATGTAGAGGCGCAGTTTAACCCTAATTACAAATGGTAAACTGTTTGGAAGGGGAAAATGGCATTTTAGTGCTCTGACTGCAATTGCTTACTAGAATGGGTAAACTCTTTTGAAAATAAGTTGAAAAAATTAATTGCCTAATTATAATATTCTTGTCAAATAGGTTGTGAAATGAAATAGTACTGCCAGAACTATTGGTAGAAGAAGTTATTCCAGTGCAAAATAGTAAAATGTGTTTAATCCGTAGTGAAAATATTCAACTACCTTTATTCTTTACAAAGGGCATAATTTTCTAGTTCATGCTGGTCAGTACAGTTTGGAAATAAACAAGATCGCCTTCTTAGGGGCCCAGTGCAGCAAAGCACTTAGGTATGTGTTTAAGTCCATCACCACTCAATTAGCCCTTGATCTCCAGAAAAGAACTTAAGCAAGTGCTTTATTTTAAGCACATGAAAAGCCACTGACACTGCTGAATGTGCTTAACATTAATGAAGTTTGCTGGATTGGCACCAGAATGATTAGCATTTTGCAGGAATAGAATCTCAAAGCATTTAAGCATGTGCCTGAAGTTAAGCATTTTCTTCAGTGCTGTGCTGAATAGGAATTGACAGCTGAACTGGGGCACAAGGCAGATTGTTGTAATAGCTTTTATGCCGGAAGTTTTATCTGGTTGTAGAATGTCCAGAGACTGGGTCCCAGAGCATAGAACAGAGAGGGAAATTTCTCCAGTTAGTATCAGAATGTGCTTTAGCAAAGTATAAGAACAACAGTGGGACAAGTGCTCAGATACTGAATGTTATATATTTCTTATTACTTTGGTCATGGTTAGAATGTCAGACAGGACATGCTGGGAGAAAATATGTTTTTCTTCACATCCTGCTAGGATTAAAAAAGTCCCTAGGCAAGAGGTCCATGTCTAGCCAAATGGCTTAATTTATAATAAGATATCAGTTAAGTATTTGATACCAGAAGTTGTATGCTAGTGAGTCACAATTACACGGTCCACAAACTTTCTAAAGAAAATTGACTGGAGAAAAAATGAGAGGAGAGCCCATCCAGCTACAATAAAACAATCCCATAAAAGACAACATTTTTCTGTTGAATTATTTGTATTTTTCATTCTCATTTGATGTTTGCAGCAATGTTGTGAAAGTTTCTTTAGACCTACCATACCATTAACATTTCTAGACATTGCTCCTAGAAATTGTTGTTTTAACCTGAGAAACTAGATTATAGTACTGTAAATTGAAATACTTATTTTTATACTTACAGGTGGTCCCTTACTACACAACCTTTGTGAGTAGTGCAACTTTGTGGGACAGAAGTATTTACCACCCTGCTGTAAGTACTATCATGGTTACACTTACTACGTTAATAGTTGTTTTGTATAATGTACACGATTGCTCCACCCACATCAATTCTCTACTCATGCAGGGATACTTTATTTTTAAGGCCTCGCTACTGAAAAGGCTTGCACATGCCCACTGACAATAGCTTGGTATCTGACTCAGAGAATATTCCCGGCTTGAACTATTTCCTCCCCTTGCATTGAACAATGCACACAATCAAAGATAGAACTCAGAACCCACAGCAAAGGATATGGCAAATACATCTAGGTAGATAACTCAACGGCATTAACACCATCCAATTAAACAAGTGTCAGCTACTGGATAGACCAGTGTCCATTACCAGGTTGATGGACATTATAAATAGGGATGTTTAGATTAATTAACTAATCGAATAGTTGATGGGATTTCCTTCTACTATTCGATTAGTCTATAAGGGCACCTCTGCCTTTGAACTGTAGCAAGAGCTCTGCCAGGCTCTCGCTACAGTTCAAAACTGGAAGCCCCACAGGGAGCACGGAGCCAACGGCGGGCTTATGCTTATCAGGTAGTCGACTAGTTGCTTACATCCCTAGTTGTAGACAGACAGAAACTCCACCTATGTATCACAAGGGCTCATAATGCATCTTGTTACTAGACTAGCCAGACCTATGAAATAGCGACATGAAAACATTTGACAGAAAACACAATCTTAACTTCTCCTTATCAATATTGTCTAACTCCTTATTGGTTGAATAATATTACTGCAATATCTGTACCATGCCAGCATAGCTGAAACCAGCACTAGCATATCTGAAACCCACACTACATTTCTCTCTGATTTTTTTTGTTTATTTTTGTGCTTGTTCATTTCTTGTTGTGTTCTGTGGAATTTATATTCTGATCAGATGTTGAGTTACTATTGGACACATTATTGAATGCTCTCAACTGTCCAATCCCTTAAATATCCCCCTCCCTCGAAAAAAGAATTATAAAACAATACAAATCCCACACACATAGCAAATGAAACCTCGTGCGCTTGCTCTGTATAATCTTTCTCAGTATTCTTTAGTATTATCACCTTTACTATTTAATGCACTATTCAAATGTCTACGTGCAAAGTATTTGAGGACTCTACAGACATTGTGATATTGATTTTTATTATTCATTGCTTGCTAAGAATCAAAACCAACAGTATAGGTATAATTTTCTCTTCAGCAGGGCTACAAAGCACAAAAATTACAAGAATAATTTCTTCTTTCTCTTTCAAATAAAAAATAAATAGCTGAGTTCATCAAGGAAATTGCTGACCTGTTATGTTTTTTCTTTCATTTGCTAATGATCCCTGTTTTCAATGAATTAAGTTTGAGCCAACAGATTTTTCTAACGTGTACATGTATATCTAGTAAATTAATGTAAGTATGTCTATGAAGATGGTAGCCATAAGCCAATGCTTTTCGTTGCCATGGATCCATTGCTGGCCTCTGTGATTGTAGCTTGTTAGGCTTTGTTTATACAAGTAGGAAGTGAAGAAAAATGGTTTTCAGCTATTTTTCGTAATTTACATTTTAACAGTTCTAATTTTCCTAATTTCCTTCCTATTTACTGTGAATAATGAGGACAGTAACCTTCAGTGATGACCACATGAATCTTAAAGCTCAAGACAAAGCACTACATACTGCCCTCATTTTTTTTCCTGTGTAACCTTTGGATTAAGGGGTTGCAACAGATGACAGAAATTTAGACTAAAAAATCTCTTTATGCAAAATAAAGAGACCTGGCAACTTACTTTATCTTACACCTATTACATCCATCTGGAAGATCTTCTGCAAACACGACTTTACAGTATGATGATTGCAAAACAATCACTTGAATTTTATTTTTTTCTCTGACTTGATTATGTTTGGTAGATTTTTCAAGGCTCTGACCACCACCCCAAAATGATTGTTTCTTTCAAAATGTTCTGTTTATAGTTATGGTAAGTGTTTGGTTTATTTTTGAGAAAACCTTGAGGTTCTTATGACAATTACAGTAAGGTATCAAACTCTTGCAGCACAAGTAAAAGAACTTGTGTCATTGGCACTTCTGTGGGATGAAGTGATACAGACACAATGACCCTGAAAGTCTAATGTTGTAGGCTACTGGTTCTGATAACTGTACAGAGAGAAAATAATGGTCTTAGAATTGTACCCTATGTGGACTATTGTAAGATTCACTGTGAGGGATATAAAGCATGTGAAGTCTTTCAGGGAAACTGAGGGCATGTCTACACTAGGAAATTATTTTGAAATAACTACATTTGAAATAATAACCTCTGAAATAACACAATCAAAATATTGTGCCCCCATTATGGGGGAGCCTCGGAATGAGTCTGAGGCAGGCTCCATTATTGTGGATGCGCTACCCGACTTAGAACCCCAGGAAGCACTGAGGAGTAATTACTTCAAATTACTCTGGGGAGTTAATTAGAAATAGCAACAGCGGAGCGTCCACACTACCACTATTTTGAAATAAGAGTTATTCCTCAAGGAAAGCAGGAGTTATTATTTTGAAGTAACAAGCTCCTTAGTTCAAAAAAATGGGCTTGGTAGTGTGGGTGCTCCACTTATTATTTTGAAATAACTCCCTAGTGTAGACAAGGGCTGAGGAGCCTGTATTATGATACATTGCCTTTTGCTGATTCTGCAGTTACCTGTGCTAAAGGAGATGCAGAAATCTTTCCGTGTTTCCCATATGTATCTGTATCCTAGCAGGAAAGCACACACTTCATATCTCTGTCTTCCTCTTTCTAGGTCTAGATAGCTACTGTATATCTAGGGACATATTGGGCTTTATTCTGCTACCACTCTGGTAGTGTAAAGGGGCCTTAAGTGGATGTAAAGGTGTCAATATATTTTCTGAAGCTTCAGGGGGTAGCCAAGTTAGTCTGTACAGAAAAAAAACAACAGATCATCTGGTAGTACTTTATAGACTAACAAAACATGTAGATGGTGTCATGAGCTTTCGTGGGCACAGCCCACTTCTTCAGATGACTGGAATTTTGAGTTTAGGATATGCAGATCCAAAATAAATAGGAGAGAAGGGGTGGGGGGAAGACAGGGAGCAGACGGTATAAAAGTCACGAAGGTAGAGGGAATCGGTAAGTATCTGAAGATTTCCCCCCCCCCCCCCTCCTTCTCTCCTATTTATTTTGGGTCTGAACATCCTAAACTCAAAACTCCGGTCATCTGAAGAAGTGGGCTGTGCCCACGAAAGCTCATGACACCATCTACATGTTTTGTTAGTCTATAAAGTGCTACCAGACCATAATATATTTTCTGCCTACTTTAAGGTCCCATTACACCAATAAAGGGATGTAAAGAAACATTAGAATAAATGAGAATCTGGCTCATTATGTTTCTAAACATGCTAAGTGGATTGTTGTATGGCTGTTGTTTTCTCACTCTGGTGATGAGCACTGTTAACCTGAATTTGGCTAGTTATGTTTAAAATTGGTCCCAGGACTGTCTGTATCAATGAAAATATTAAGCTCTATAACTGAAGTAAATTATTTCTGATTCATTATCAGTAACACAAATTAATTAATAAAGAAATGGTGCCTAAGTCTGTGTGCTAATTATTGCTTATATTATTATTAATTATTTGTATACTGGTGATATTGAGGAGCCTTAGTCAAGGACTAAGATTCCACTGTGCTTGGCTCTGAACAATTGACAAACAAAAAGGCAGTCACTGCCCCAAAGAGTTTACAATCTAAAACAGGGGTGGGGAACCTTTCTTTGAGTCGGGCGCTGCTGACCCACAGAAAAATCATTCAGGGGCCGCACACAAATGAGAAGCAAAAAGCAAACAACAACAACAAAAAACATTCACTGATGTGGCCTCTGACTGAGAAGGAGAAAGACTCTCACCACATTCCCCTCACACACCAGAGCGTAGGGGGCCCCAGCTAGTATATATTGTGTGCGCCAGCTCTACAGTGGGATGGGGGTGGGGCTGAAGTGCCAGTGTGGAATCCCTAATGCTGCGGTGGGGGAGTCCTGAGTTTTTGGGGCCATATCCAGGCAAGCTGGGAGCCACATTTGGCCTCTGGACCTGAGGTTCCCCACCCCTGATCTAAAACAAGAGACAACAGATGGATACAGACAGATGAGGGAGTACAAGGAAACAATGAGATGATATTGGTCAGCATGATAGGCAGGCGGGAGGGGAGGCAAAGGGAGCAGCTGTGCCAAGGCCCAGAGATTCAAAGGGGCCTGGGGCTCCCACATTCACATTATACTAGTGACAATGAAAAGTAAAAATTTAAGATGCAACCTAAATTATTATTACTACACTGGACATATCATATTTTTCACAGAGCCACCAGCAACATTTACCTGAACAAAATAAAAAATGGAGGAAACAAACAAACATTAGAATTTTGTATTTGGTTCATGGAGAACTTTCTCTCATCAGCCTCTGCAGCCAGGCAAGGTGGGGAGGAGACAGGGCCGGGGTCAGGGCCAGCCAGCCCTCAGTTCCGCCCAGAGCAAGTTACTGGGCTCCCTCCATCCCCCCAAAACACACAGGCTATGTTTTGACTGCATCCCTCTGTCGACAGAGGGATGCAGTCAAAACATAGCCTGTGTGTTTTGGGGGGATGGAGGGAGCCCAGTAACTTGCTCTGGGCGGAACTGAGGGCTGGCTGGCCCTGACCCCGGCCCTGTCTCCTCCCCACCTTGCCTGGCTGCAGAGGCTGATGAGAGAAAGTTCTCCATGAACCAAATACAAAATTCTAATGTTTGTTTGTTTCCTCCATTTTTTATTTTGTTCAGGTAAATGTTGCTGGTGGCTCTGTGAAAAATATGATATGTCCAGTGTAGTAATAATAATTTAGGTTGCATCTTAAATTTTTACTTTTCATTGTCACTAGTATAATGTGAATGTGCCAGAGCAGCTACAGAAAGCAGTTTAAACAGGTACTGTGCACTGGCTAAGGGCGCGTCTACACAGCAGGATTTAACTTGAAATAAG